GGGTTGGACTCAATGCCAGCACGAGTCAGGAGGATAAGGAGCAACCCTGCTGCAAGGCGTTGCTCCAGTGACGACACACACAGATTAATATTCACCGATCCGAACGGGGTTAGATCGCCGAAATGACAGCCCATGGTCGGATGAAATCCGAGTCAATTCCGGTACGTAGAACCGGCTGTCGTGGGAATTGAAATGCATGTTCACTGGGGCTACTCAAGCTTAAATAATCTCGAACTACACGTTTACCGAATAATGAAAGAAACAAATGTTTATTATTAATTTTTATAGGGTTCTCACCTGTAATTCAGCTCTATCCACATCCCATTGAGACCGTTCTAACTCAAAACGGGACCATTCGTGCTGTATAAAGTGTAGAATGCCTGGTATGGTATATTGTGGCGTAGTTTGTTGATTGTTCTGGCCGGTAGACCCGCCACCTCCGCCATTGCCACTATCTTCACTACCATTGCTTCCGGTACCAAGACCTACAGTTCCGGGCGTACTATTATTACTAATGCCAATCCCTCCAGCTCCGACGACACCGCTCAAACTGTTGTTTCCGACACCACCAACACCGCCAACGCCACCTACACCACTGGCACCGCCACCGCCAACAACGCTACTACCGCTTGCACCACCCGCACCGACGGGTTTATTATTTATGCCGGTTGTTGCTCCTGAATTAGTGCCCATCGAGATTTATTTTTATGCTTACGCGTTTCCGAATATATTGCGATTTTAACTTATAATTAATTGTAAGCAGTAGGAATTTTTGTTGTATTTTTGCAACAACTTTTTGTTGCATACGTTGCAATAAACGAAGTTTTTATATTTGCACTTAAAGGTTTGGTTATGTAGGTTTTTGGACAAATTTAGTTTCAATTTTACAATTTTATTTTGATGTTATTTATACGAAGTTATCCGATGGTTTTGTAGAATTACAATTTATTTATATTGCTTTATGTTTTCATTGGTTCTTTATAAAATATTTCTTGAAAATATTTTTATCGCACTGTTTTTTGGACTAAGCAGACTTTTCGCCCGATTCAATTAATGATGCTGTGTTTCTAAAAAAAAAAATAAAACTTTCGTAAAAACAATAATAGGTTCATAATAAAAATGATTTAATGGTTATTAAAAACTGTTATTACACCAGCATTAATTTTTTTGCTTTAGTTTGAGAATGGATAGTTTATGGATTAGTTATTCTACTAAATATCAACAAGCTGATGATGTAAACAGTAGAAAATTAATTTGTCAGTTGGTTGATATTTAAGTTTTTTTTTTGCGAATTTTTTATTTTGTATATATAAAATGAACACTGAAATAGTGGAATGGTCACGATATTACTTTCCACCCCTGCACACCTTGAGGGTTGGACGAATGTCTGTAAAGAAATAAATGACTTCAACCTGCTTTCACTGTTCTACTTTTCACATTTTTATCTGAAGCAATTTAGATATAAATAAAAATAAATGTTTTTTCCTATAAATGTATGTTAAATTAAAGCTATTTCGCAATCCTTTCCATTTTTGTAACCGTTGAAAATTCTTTACACAGAAATCCACTCTCCTCACAGAAGAGTGTGAAAGTAGACGGAAAAAACTAAATGAATATGAGTGAAAAACAGCCGCAAGAAAAGTTTACGAAGAAAAACGAGAAGCCCTGCAAAAGTACAAAAAAAAAAAATGCCAGAAAGAGAAAATATGATGCCGAATTAAATGATGTAAAATATTAGAACTATTAAATATTAAAAATAAGAAAGACAAAATGTAAATCCCAACAATAAATAGCTCAAAACTCAATAATTTTAACTTTTATTGATAAAAAAAAAACAATACATCAATTAAAGCCTATAGAAACTTCACATTTTTAAGTATACTGAAAGATTCTGGCAACTTTATAGTATGTCAAAATTTCCATTATCGAAAGAGAATAGGTTTTCTCTTTTTAACGCCTTTTTATTGGTAGATAAATTGAAGTTAATAATATATTCGTTTCTTTCTTACACATTATCTCCTTTTCTATGAATGACGGAATTATTTAAAGGGTGTTGCCAACCATAAAAAAAATTATAGACAAGGAAACAGAAACAGAGGTACGCACCGACCAAAAATACGAGGATCCCCGAACTCAACGTAATGCCCAATCGCGTGTGCACTACACCTATTTCCCCCGAGATGATATACAATGTTTTGTTGATTGTTTCAACGGCTAAAGAAATCAATTTTATATCGTTTGCGAAATTTGTTCCCCTCGTTCATTCATTGATACTTCTGCCCGTCTTAGCAGGTCAACAATGGGAGGCAATGAACTTTTCCATACCAAATAATTCATTAGAGAAAAATCCTTTTGTAACAAATACAACTCACTTTAAACGGATGAGACTAGCAACACTAATGTTATCCTCACTCACAAGAGAAATTCATATTTTAAAAACCAAATCTTTCAAAATAAGTACACAATGAAAATTACACAATGAAGGTAAAGATTTGTAATAGTCTCATACACTTCAACGATTTATCACTTTAAACTACTTGCTTAAATATCAAGAATTCAAAATTCGCTGCTTAATGAATTAATTAATACACACATAATTTCAAGAATCACTCATAATTCAGGACTACACTAAAATATTGGTTTATAAAAACTTTGTCACTGGCAGCAGATTTTCGTGGACCGAACAGGAATGTTTCCGATTCCGTTCTTTCTTTTTCCTTTTGTCTTTTTCTTTTACCGAAAAAAATACTCGTTCTTTATGTCTCCTGTCCACGTACTTTTTCTCAGCTTTCTAAGCTGGTAAAGAACAATCTTAATCAACTTGCGCATATATTGAAATAATTCACTTTTTGTTTTTAATTTGTTATATTCAAAATTTTCTCTATTTCGTACGTTTATTTAATAAGATTTTATGTGAAAATTACCGAGAGCAGAAAACTATACACTTTCCATTCTCACCCGTGTTGTTGAAACTTGAAACTGGAGTTGCCAGAGAAAAAAATGTGTAAATAAATTAATCTGATAAAACCCGTAGCTGATGAGAAACAAAGCTCAGATTATGAAATGAAGTGCTTCAAAGTTATATAAAATATTTATACAAAGAGAATTATAAAAGAATTATTTTTTTATATACAATTTAAATATTTAAATTACAAAGTTGATTATATGGAGGCAACTTTAATAACTTCATCGTACAAGTCTTTCGCAAATGCAAGAACGAGACACACGTTGCATACAATAGCAAGAAATCGGTAATGGGGAAAATGGCGGATAATACCCACAAATTCAGTTCCTAGTTATTATGCTATTTATTGTGACCAATTCATTTATGTTCCAGTTCTAAGTAATTACCTATAACAAAATTCAAAAGATGTAAAGCGAAACCTTGATTTTCTTTATTTATATATTATACCGGTTGAACAAACATTTACTCGGTGCAAAAAACAATTGCACTAATTAGTATTGAAATGCAATATTTGAGAGAATCTTTAGGTTTACAAACCTTTCTATACATCTTACGTTAGTTATGACATTTCTTCTTTGTTATAAATTACATTTAGATGTTACTTATAAAATTTATATTCATACAAAAATTCTTTAAATAATAATGTTTCTAGGTGTGGTCTCACGCTAACGCAAACATAATTATAAATAATTAAAATAGCGTGACAAAGTCACCATACAATATTTACAGGAACTCTTCACACCAATCGTTCAGACAGTTGTAGCAATCCGATGCCTGCTTTGAGCTCGCATTACATACTTCCTTCATCCAATCTTTGAACAATTCTTCATCCTTTTTCAATATCAAATACTGACCTAATACGGTATAAGCCTGAAAGTTTCGTATGTTAAAGAGCATATTATTTAAATTCTTAAAGATTTTTAGCAAACACTAGGCACGAACCTTATCAAATCCCGCCTCAATAAGACGTCCTCCCAGCGTTTCTCCAATTCCTGCCAATTCTGTCACAGACTTATCCCCCATGGGTTCAGCAACAAAATTTCTATATTTTTGTGATGTCCCTGCCATTTCTATATATTTATGTTATATTATTATAGTTTGGGCAATTTGTTTTTATCAGTGACGAAATTGTGAGTTACGCACAAAATAGAGAAAAACAATAAAATGCAACCACATTTGCCAAACGAATTGGGAATGACGCCACAACAAAAATATTTTAAACCAGTGTTGCTGTTGTGAAGTAATACGTATACGGTTGGTAATATGTTAAACAACGTTGGAATGGTTCGGAAAGCTCTTTATGAGTTGCCACTTTAAGTGTATTCCAAAATATGTAATTTGAACAAATGTATATTAACATATTATTGAAAATATTTTCTTTCTTTGTTACTTCCAATTTTATCTATATGCTTAATTTTTAATTTCATAATGATACAAGTTTTATAGTGTACGAATAAAAAGTGGGACTAATTCCTTGCTAAATTTACCTCTGATGCACATAAGGCGGTTACACGGCTGAAAAAAACATTTTTTTTGCAAAAAAATTTTTTATCTAGTACGGTTTCAAAATCACTGTCTTGGAATTATGTTTGTTTTTACCACACTTGACATAATTACTGAAATGAACATACATGGTAGTAACTGGGAAATCCCCTATTTCGATATATGTTTCAATGCTCCATAAAATGCCTTATGAACATACGTATGTATATCTGAAATTTTATAGTTTTCAACATTTTTTACACGGTTTTTCAAAATATATATGGATCTTTATTTCATCTTACACGGTTTGCATATGACATGGAACGTATCCCCTTTTTACTATAGGAAACGCCACTTTTTTTACACCGCTTCACACAAAAACTTCCGTGGGCGGATGCAATTCGTGTTAATTTCGACAATAAAGAACCGGTATTTGCAATTTAATTTAATTTGCAGCTGTAAAGTAATTGTCACTCCCTATAGGTTTGAAAACTTAAAGAATTTTTTATGAAACAGTTGGCATATACTTGTATTTTTTATAAATAATGGTACATGGCATTTGAAGAATATTCGGTTACATTTTATGTTTAAAAAATATAGCAATAGTAGCAAATGCTCTGGAAATATTGAACACTGATGTAAAACGTTTATAAGACAAGTATAAAAAAAGACAAAAAAAAAAAAAATCGAATTGGTTAAAAAAAAAACCCTACTCTCTCTTAAAGAGCGGGTTTGGTTGAGTGTTGATATATTATATATATGTACATATATGTATATTTCTTCAACCATCAATCAAATAGAAAGTAAAAACGCTTAGATGCTTAATTCGAAGTAAAAAGTCTTTGATTCTGTTAAGTAACCACAGGAAAAGCAGTGATGGAAAATTGTTTGATGCATGGATACCAAAATTGAAAAATACTTATTCTTAAGAAATCTGTGTTCGATAATTAAGAGTTTATCCAGACGCTTGATTAACTCTCAGGTTATCGTATATGAGATTTGCGACACAAAATCCGATTTATCTATGTATATGAAGAACTTGAATAGAATTTCAAAAAATTAAAACGCTTTTTATACGTAAGAGGCATATGTACTCTCTATATATACAAATAGTATTATCTTCAGCACGCATTTGGCCACCCACAGTGTTATTCGATAAATGCATTTCCCTAATGCACCTTTTGTTTTAACTAATTTCGTACTTAGCATTGCTTCTAACTTAGGTTGACATTTGATTGATGGTTGGTATCACAAATAATTAAAAAAAAAAGTTAATTTAAAAAATGCAACAGAAATTAACTTTTTACAAAAAATATATAAAGAGGCTCTTGTGCCAAGCGCATTTCAGTTAAAGGCCACTTTTAGGTGGTTTTATTTGCTTTTCTTTAGTTTAAAAAATATGACTCGATTTCTAATAAGCTTCATATACTTAACAATTTTTGGTAAGCACCATACTAAGTATACAATTTTTTAGTAATAAAAAATAAATAACTTAGTTAAAGCTTTTGCTGAAGTGGAGCTTAGGGATGAGGACTACAATAAAACGTGGATGTACATGCCCAATGGCGACGGAGAAATGGAAGTGGCATACCTAGTTGAACCACCAGACGAAAAAGATCGCAGCGAAGTTTCTGATTTTATACAGCTTGAGTATTATGGCAGGTATTAGTAATAACAAACATATTTTTAAAAGCATTAAACATTATGTTACATCAGTACAAACCCCGATAAACCCGTGACGACTGTATTTTCGCTGAGTGAAAGTTCAATTACTACACCGCAAAGTCAAGAACGACGCAAACGAGAGACATGGGAGGAGCTAGCCGACAGATTCAAAGCCGACATGACCACGAAAATTCTTGTACATGGCTGGAAATCAAGTTCACGTAGTAACTCCATACAAGCTATACGCAATGCGTACGCCGATCGCGGCAATGTGAATGTATTCGCCATTAATTGGAGCGATCAGGCGGATAATATTTATTATCTTGAACCTGCTCGTTATACTGTGCAAGTGGGCAAAGCAGTTGCGAAATTAATTGATTTGCTGGTAGAGGATAAAGGTGCCGAACCCAAGGATATCCATTTGATAGGACATAGCTTGGGTGCGCATATTATGGGCTATGCGGGGTCGTACACTAGGCACAGAGTTGGTCGCATTACAGGCAAGTTATGCCGGATTTCAAACTATGCTTGTATTTCTGTAGTCAATGGATACATATATTATATATTTATTAGGTTTGGATCCTGCGCGCCCCGCTTTTGAGGGTAATACTGGACCAGAGAATCATTTGGATGCCACCGATGCTGACTTTGTGGATGTCATACACACCTGTGCGGGTATTTTGGGTTTCAAGCAACCAATCGGTGCGGTTGATTTTTATCCGAATGGCGGTGGCGCTTTTCAACCGGGCTGCAAGGAGCCGATGCAGATATTAAGTAAGTTTATTTGCAGTAAACTTGTTAAAGAGTATTATTAATTTATATAACGGTATAAAAAGTTTCCTCATCATTTTTACTCTTAATTTAGATAGAATTAGCTACATTGTTAAACAAATATTTATTAAAAAATATATTTTTTTGTTGTGTCAGCTGGCTGCAGTCATGGTCGCTCTTGTGAATATTTCGCAGAGTCCATTAATAGTAAAAAGGGTTTCCTAGCTACCGCCTGCAATTCCATAGTGGATGCTAATGCTATGAATTGTACTGGTCAACGAATTCTAATGGGTGACCCTGTATTAGGAGATGCGCGTGGTATATATACAGTAAAAACGGCCGATAAGCCAAATTTTGCGCTTGGCATGGAAGGTTAAAGGGTAAAAAAAAAAATAAAAAAAATATATGTTGATATAGTTTTTTAAGGTCATGCATGCAGTATATAAAACTGAAAAAATTTATAAAAAAAAAATGTATAAAATATATAAATACAAACTCGAAACAGTAAGTTTCGTATTAAAATAGTTAACCTCGAATTTTATGTACCACTTCACTCCCCCGATGATTAAAAGCACATTATAAATGTAGTTAAAAATAATTTATTGGTAACCCTAATGTAAAAAATTGCCGCTCTCTTCTTATAGCCAACTACATAATTAGGTATGTAATTATGTATATAAGCATTACGTATATACACATAAATATATATTAATATTCTCTTGTTGAGATTTTTTTTCTGCTAAAATGTTATTTCTTTTCACGCTGTGATATCGGTTCTGCGTCGTATAACATTATGCGACCGATTTGTACCGTTGTTGATAATATCCTCGGGTCTCGCCTCAATTTCGTAGTGCGTGTAACCGTCAACATCGTCTAGTTCCTTACAATTGAATTTTGCCAGCAATGTGCCACGTCCTGCGTATGGCGGCACATATTTGAAAGTGGAAGCAGCTGTACCACCCACGGGGATCTCTGCAATCTAAAATTGAAAAAAGGAAAATTATTCCAAATTTATATACATATACACTTTTTACAAGGGCGGTCCAATAAGCACTTAACCTACAATAGATGCACAACTTCTTTAGATAGACTACAAATAACGTTTTCTGGGGGACGCTTCCGTAGCGGCGATAATCTCCTCCTTTAAGTTAATTTTATTTTCGGCGATAGGTTTTTTTTTTTACGTTTAGAGACAAAAAAAAAAAACAGTCGCGTGGGGTGAAATCGGTGAATGTAAGTTCAATTTGGAAGTGCCGACGGTGAAGGAATTGCTTTAGCCCAATAATTCCGTAATCGTTTTACCCTTTTCGCGGTAGCTGATAGAGATCAAACCTTGTGAATCCTAGAAAACGGTTGTCATCATTTTTGCTCTTGAATGATCGATATCATTGGATTATCATTTTTTGATTTCAGCTTCCTCTTTTACTTCCAAAACCAATAATTCAATCACCTATCGATATTTCTTAATTCCAATCATCTAAAACTCGACGATAAAGCCACCTTTCCCACACGGTTAAATCAAAGCTATGAGTGGAATTAGGTCGAAAATTTGGCAGTAGCGATAGTTAAGTTCTGTTGGGATAGTGGCACTACTGAGGGGTGAGACTAAGTACTTATCGGACCATTGCAATATATGTACTGATTTCGTACCTTGAACCGCAGCGCTTTCTCAATACCGGGTCCCTCAATATAGAACATACCCTTCTTGAGAGGTATAGGCAGAGGATTTGTTAAGCGTACGATCACATCGACGGGCAGCTGTGACACGATTTTGCCCTGGAATGTGAACTTAATATCCGGCTTACGTACGCGGAAATCATCCTGTGCGTAGTATTCGTAATCTGTGGCCTTTACCTTAGCAGCACAGGATATATTAAAAGCAGCCTGGAAGTAAAAAATATGCGTCTTTACAAATATAACTGGAATTTGTGTTCAAAAACTATTATTAATCACATACATACATACCAGTATTGAAATTTTTTTGGAATATTTTTAATTAATGCTGTACACTTAAAACACGTTATACTCACTTGTGATGTCAATTTTTTAAAGTATTCATCGAATTGCACTTCCATGCGCACAAATTCCGACATTTCTGGTTTCAATTCGAGCTCGAATGGCATGGATTTCACTTCTTCCGCATTGGTGCCCGTGTACAGTACTGCATCGCAGTTTAGCTGACCGCTCGCCACGTGCGTATTATCTTTGGACTTATTAGTAATTTTAACAATAACTGTAAAACTCTCGCCGATTTTTATGTCATCCTTTAACGACATATCGAATTCGACGTCGTTGAAAGTATCATTTAA